AAGTTACATGTCCTCCAGCTGATTAATGAATAAGCAAAATGTGGTTAACCATACAATGGAATATTATTCAGCCACAAAAGTAAAGTACTGACACATGCTACAACATGGATGAACCCTGGAAACAAGCTAAGGGAAAGAAGCCAGTCACAAAAGGACATATTATATGATTCCATTCACATGAAAATCCAGGATAGGGAAACTGACAGAGTATATTTAGTGGCTGCTTAGGGCTGGGTGGGGAGGATGGGGGAATAGGGGATGACAGTTAAGAGGTACAAGGTTTCTTTTTGAAGTAATGAAAATGTTCTTAAATTGACTGCAGTGATGGTTGCATATATTTGTGAATATACTAAAAACCATTGAATTGTACAAATTAAATGGCTGAACTGCATCTCAGTAAGGCTGCTTCAAAAAAAAAAACCCAACCCATGTCCACTGCAGTTATTATTCACAATAGCTAGGATATGTAAGCAGTCCACTGATGGATGAATGGATGAAGAACATATGGTATGTACATACATGCAATGGAATATTATTCAGCCTTGAAAAGGAAAGTAGTACTGTCGCATGCTACAACATTGATGAACCTTGAGGATATTGTGCTGAGTGAAATAAGCCAGTCACAAAAGAAAAATACTGTATGATTCCATTTATATGAGGTATCTAAAGTAGTCAATTTTATAGAAACAGAAAGTAAAGTGGTAGTTGCCAGGGATTTAGGCGAGGGGGGAAATGGGAAGTTGTTCAGTGGGTACAGAGTTTCAGTTTTGGGAAATGAAAACATTCTAGAGATCCACTAGATCTCACACAGTGTGAGTATAGTTAACACTACTGCAGTGAACGCTTAAAAATGGTTAAGAAGATAAAGTCTGTTGTGTTTTTTACTACAATAAATAAGTAAGACTGAACCAGAAGATGCCCAGCATTTTAGGAATGATGGCCGTGGACAGGCCCAGGTCAGGAGTCCAACATGGCTAGAATGTAGTCATGGGCTCGTGGAGAATGCACTCTGGATCACAAAAGGACAGCAGCATTCCCCAGGAACGCAACAATACACACAAAGAAAAGGGAATCCAATCCAGGCGTGCACATCTTCCAGCCCTGGGATGCCCAAGAGGAGGAATGAAGAACGATGGAACTGGGTATCACTAGGAATAGACATCCTCTCTGCCACTACTGGTGATTGTGCTTATCAGAGTTAGACATCAGCCTCCCATTAATGACCCTTGCTCTGTTCCCTTCTTTTTCCAGACTCCTGGTAAAATGCAAAATAATACTGTAATATTCCCTTTCTCCCATTCAATGTTATCCAAACTTTTCTGCCAGCCTTACCTAAACATCAGATGGCTCCAGGAAGAGAGCCAGCCTCACTCTTCTCCAGGTCATTCCCATCCATGAAAGGGTGAACAAGAAGAGAGGAGAGAAGAATATCACCTGTCAGTTGGATATTCAAGGTAAAGGGTAAGAATTTTTAGAGTAGGGTGATGTCAGCAACATGGCCGAATAAGATAACCCTCACATATCCCTTCACTCAACAACAATTTGACATCCATCCACAGATGAAGTGCCTTGTGGGATCTGTGGGATCTAGTGCCATATGCCAAGGAGCCCAGGAAGAGTCTTGCCCACCCATGCATCAGGTAATAGGCATACAGACTTCAGTCCTAGCTGAAGGCCCTGCAGTGGCCTGTGAACTGGCTCCAGCCCCTCTCAGCCACAGTCTGGGAGACCCTGGAGAGCACCGTTTTAGACAATCATCCATAGATGAGAGAACCTCTGTGGAGGTCCAGGTTTCCAGTGGAGAAGTTTCAGCACACTACTAGAGAAAGAAAATGCACACACTGGAGAGGAGAAGAGGAAGAGTTCGACTTTACCCACATCACCCCTCCCCCAAGGCAGCACAGCTTAGTGCAGAGGGAGAAGCTCTTGGCCCTTGATTTCTCCCACAAAGGAAAGTGAAGAATGTGAATGAGCGCCTGGCTTCCCTAGCTGTGTGGGACATTGCCAAAGAGGCCCATTCCTATCTTTCTATCCAGAGTAGTAAGTCATGAGCTGCTTGATGCAGGAATGGGGAAAGGCTGGAAGAGCAGCAGATAGGACTCTTGGAGGGCATTAAAGGGATGTGGATCTTACTAACTGTGCTGCAGATGCCAAGAAGCCTGCCCATGAGCTGCTGGAACACTTTGCCTGCAGATTCTCCCACCTGGCCTGTAGACACCCCCAGGGCTCCATGCACCTCACCCACTCACACCCCACCCTGTGTCCAGCTCTGTGCACACTCCTGATGGTGGTGAGAGTGAGCTTTGGAAGATGGCTTGTGAGCACACGTAGAAAGCCAGCATGAATCTGTAGGCCAGGGAGAAACTATAAATTTGAACTTTAGCTCAGTCCTTGGGAAAACAAAAGGGAGGCTGTCAGCACCTGGCTCGGAGTGTTGCAGGTTCAAGAGAAGGTATATAAGCTTAAGAATTCTGCCACCAGAGGGAGCAAGTATCATGGAGGAATGTATCCATAGACAGATGGCTGGGAAGGCCTCAGAATCTGGCAGGACTGATGGAAGAGATTTCACTCCCCAAGTCACTCAGTAAAAATCAGAGGAGGTGACTGCTACTGCAGGTGTGAAGACAACAATGTGAGACTTCAAGGAACTGAAAAATCAAGGAAACATGACACTACCAGAGGATCACAGTAATCTTCTAGGAACTGACCTCAAAGATATGGAGGCCTGCTCTTTACCTAATAGGGAATTCAAAATAGCTGTTTTAAGGAAGCTCATTGAGCTACAAGAAAACACAGAAGGCAATTCAACAAAATCAGGAAAACAACACATTAATTAAATGAAAATATTACAGGGATATAGAAATCATTTTTTAAAAAGAGCCTAACAAATATTGGAGCTGAAGAATACAATGAATGAAATGAAAAATGCAATGGAGCATCAACAACAGAATGGACCAATCAGAATAAAGAATCTGAATTCAAAGATAGGAAATTTAAAATTACCCAAAGGAGGACAAAGTTAAAAGAAAAAGAATGAACAAAGCCTATATGATCCATAGGATACTGTCAGGAGAAGCAATCGGCAAATTACTGAAGTCCCAGAAGGAGAAGAGTGGGAGACTCGGGGCAGAAAGCTTATTTAAAGAAATAATGGCTGAGAATTCCCAAATCTGGGGAGAGATATGGAAATCCAAGTTCATGAACCTCATAGGTCACTAAGCAAACCCAACATCAAGGGATCTTTTCTAAGATACATTATGATAAAAGTGTCAAAAGTCAAAAACAAAAAGAGACTTTAGAGGCAGCAAGAGAAAAGA